TCTCTCTTCGTAATTTCCATGATCCGCGATCCAAGCCATGTTGACCACAAAAAATTGTTCCTTTCTCTTAGAGACATGCTTGTTCACAATGTCAGTTCCAACTGAAGCAGGTTTCTTATCATACAGATCCTTCTTGGTAACCCACACACAAACGTACTTTGTGGGCTCAATCGAACACATTTTTGAGTTCCAGATCATCAAAAGTTTCTTCTTCCTTTTGAAGCACTGCTGCCATCTGTGACCTTTCTTTCCACAATAGAAACAACCTCTGAATCTGTGAGTAGATCCACCATCAACCATCACGCTTGGGACCAGAGGTCTTCTGTCGCTTGTTTGGACTAGTTTTACTTTGAGAAATTTTTGTTGGTTTCTGGACACCTTTCAAGTTCCGTCCCGATGACATTGTCTTTGAGGAAGTGTGTATCTTATCCTGACGACCTTATTGTTTGAGTTATGACCAATATCGGGATTTATGCAGACCTATCTTGGAACAGGCGGTTGCACACAGCAATCTTGACGCTGTGGAGCTTCTGTGAAACCACTTCTCTTAACAAAGACAATTTGTTTCCCTTGAGATTCTGTATCACAGTTGGATTTACCCTGGTATCCATCCCCCAACGAACATATTTGGTTCTTCCCATGGCAAGAATATTGTCAAGTTGTTGTGGACGGCGGATCCTACACAGTTGAATTTGTCAAGGGTTGAAAGGAGAACTGAGTCTTCTGAGTATGAATCACAAAGKAAAAGTTGAAGATATYTTTTDTTGCTGTTTCTGTTAAGCTCTGGTTACAAATGAATCGATCCCCTTTTTGGGAGATGATAATGAACTATATATAGTACTTCTAAGTAAAATGGACCAGCTAATAAATGGACCTGACCCATTAAGCAATATATAACATTTAGGCCCATTAATCTATTAAGCCCATTTTGTTAATGGGTTTAATGTRATTTTGGGCCTAGATTCAGACTYGGRCRTTGTAGARTTGCTCCGATTTCGTTAGGATGCTGCCCAGTTGATCTTGTCGTTATATCGATCTCATAGGGGTGAAATTCGACCCCTACAGTTAGCCCCCCAGTTTGGCAGTATCGAGTTAAGATGATGCCGAGGTAAAAGTTGTTGAAATCTGAGATCGATATGTTGGACTGCGAAGTCGCAGGCGTGAACGTCTTATCATCAAACTCGGGAAGTTTCCGCTATTCCATATTGAGTTGATGTCACCGTGTTTTCCTAGACTTCTCGTTGTTGCCCATTATTCTACTTAGAAGCCTAACAAAGTTAATAGTCTTGTTTCGCTAGTGGGTCTTGAGTTTGCCCCCCAGCTTGGCAGTATCGAGTTAAGATGATGCCGAGGTAAAAGTTGTTGAAATCTGAGATCGATATGTTGGACTGCGAAGTCGCAGGCATGAACGTCTTATCATCGAACTCAGGAAGCTTCTGTTATTCCGCGTTGAGCCGATGTCAGCGTGTTTTCCTGGACTTGTTTTCTTTTTCTTTTGCTTAGAAGACTGAGGAGGTTCACGGTCTTTTGTGTTAATGGGCCTTGAGGCCTGCTGAAAAATTTCTGGAATTTTTCCAGAGACAAAGTGATTTTAGGAAATTCTCTAGGTATAAATCACCCTGCTTTCCTCGAATTATTTTCTACCAAATCACTTTTTCCTTAAGCAAAAGGTAAAATTCTGCTCCCCTTCTGCCTCTTTATTTTATTGTTTTCTTTTTTAAAAGTTTTGTTTTTTTTTTCTTCTTCGAACGAGCCGCCGCCTCCTCTTCAC